GTTTGCCCCTGTTTGGGTCATACACCGGCATTGAGACCTCTGTTATCCCTCTTTCAATCATGAAGTCTCGTAATCTTGTCAGTGCCAATATCACGTGTTCGGGATCAATTGTGTTCCTGTCATTGACCCTCGTTACTAGGAAGCACAGATATTTGCCCGGGACTTGTGCCACTGACGGTGGAAGCGCTGCCATCCCTCCCAGTCCTGGTCTCTGTCTGAACAGAAACTCTACATTCTGGTACTCTCTTTTGAAGTCAGCTTCCAATCTTGATTTGAAACTCATGTCCGCCGTGATGCAGATCGCGCTGGTCCTGTTTGACAGGATGAAGTCGCTATCCGTTATCATGATGTTCTCCGAGTATTCATTGGGTATTTCGAATTTCGTTTTGAAATTCCGACCTATAGTAGGATCTGGCTCTTCTTCCTCCAGTTCCAATTCGCTCGTTTCTCTCACTTCCTTGAGCTTCTTTATCATCAAATTTTCGGTGTGGGTAAGTCCTACCCCCACTCCCCGGACAAAAATATTTATCGACGTCCCCGTCGATGTTGTCGGGTCTGAATTGTCCTGAGGAATGTCCAGTGGCCTGTCTGTTGCCGTCCATCCGAAAAGAGGGTCCTCTGTCTTCATGTAATTTGCTGCTGATACATCGACTTGCTGAATGCTTTGTCCTTCGCGGCTCTCGTCTTTGACATCACGCATCCACTCTAGAATCCTCAAGTTCGTGTTCTCCCTCCTCTCTATCTCACTCTGTTCGAGATCCGTTTCTACTTCTGGCGTCGAGTAATCATCCTGCGGATAATTACCACCATCGTCAATGACCTGCCATTCCTCTCCGGCTTCCAGTTCGCCTGCCTTCAGTAATTCCTCGCCCAATTTGTCTGGCTGTATCTTATCGATCAAGAAGTCATCCCCGTACCTGTTGTACCTCATGCCGGTGCGTTTACGATTGCCAGTCCTGGTTTCCGGTGGTGTTGGTCGATCCGGCTCCATCCACTTCGGCACCTCGTCTTGCTCCGGGTCGTTCCAGTCTTCTTCTACAAATGATCCTGCATCAGACTCCAATCCTATCTTTTCATTGTCGTCCAAACTCAAGTTCTCATTACCATCATTTTTCTCTCGAGTGCCTTTCTCATTCACTTCACACGCTGGCTCTACCACCAGGTACTCAAGACCCTCCATGTCCTTCGGTATGCACCAATCCTCCGGGGACGGGACGTGAGGCTTCAGATTTTCATAATGTGCCGCTCGCCCAGTACTCAAGCGATAGAACCGTCCTTGTTGATGAACCTCCGTTATCATGAATGGTCCCCTCCATTTCTTGATTAGTTTCTTTGTTCCCTTGGGCGGTATTACATTTTGGAAGACCCACACGTATTGGCCCACTTCATATGGCTTTGCTCTTAATATTTTTTCGTCATATTTCCTGCGTTGCCTCATTTGCGCTTGCGCCGTGTTCCTCATGCATAGCTCGTTCAACTCCTGTTGTCTTTTGATCGCTTCTTTCACGTATGCCTGAGGCGACGTCCTTTTCCCCTCATATTCCGGGTAGAAGAATGTCAGAGGCATTGCTCTCTCCCTGCCCGTCAACATCATGAAAGGACTGATGCCCGTAGTTGAGTGCTGTGTACTGTTGTAGGCTCCTACTACCTGTGGCAGGTATTTGTCCCAGTCCGTCATGTATCTTGAGCAGTACACCCTTAACATGTTAACCAGTGTCCTGTTTTGTCTCTCTACCAACCCATTGGTCTGTGGATGATAGGTCGTCGAGTGTGCTTGAGCAATGTGCGATCTCTTCATCAATTCTTTTGTCAAGTCCCCCACGAAAGCTTTGCCGTTGTCCGACTGGAAAGTCATTGGACCACCATACCGCGATATCCAATGCGTTATCAGATGATCACATGTCTCTTCGGCCGAGGCTGTCTGGCACGGAACCGCTTCCGCCAACTTTGTGAAGTGATCTATTATAACCAGTATCTGATTATATCCCGACTCTGTCATGCAAATTTTTTGATGGTCTATCTGTACAACCTCGTTGAACTCCGAGCTCTCAACGGACTTGAGTGGGAACTTCATCTTCCTTGGGTCTTTTACCTGGAGACATGCCAGGCAGGCATTCACCCATCTCTCGCAAGCTTTTCTCATTCCTGGCCAATCAAACCTGTGAAGTATCCTTTGTTGTACTTTGTCTATCCCCTGGTGGCCCATCTGGTCGTGTGATCTGAAAAGCACCTCCGTCTGGTACAATTGTGGTAGTATGATGAGGTTGTTTTGTGTAATATCTTTTCCTCATCTCTCCTCTTGCACGCTACCACCCCCTCAGCTGTGTGATAAAGTAAGTCTTTCTTTTCTTTGTAGAACTGGCTCAAGATCTTGTAGCTGTCTTCCTCAAGTTCCCCCTTCTCCTTGACCCCCGACTGGATCCATTTGGAGAGGTTACTTGTCATTTTGTCATTCTTCTGGGCTCTTATTAGGTCTGACAGCCTATATCTCGCCTTGACATGCTCCTTTAGCGCCATGATTTGTCCATTCATCTCACCAGGGTTGTGGATGTCATCACTCAGTTTCACGCATATCATCCTTTTCACGATTTTCATATCATCTTCTGGCACCAGATTCGTTCTGATGTTTGAGTTGCATGATAGTTCCCTGAATGGTTTCCTTGCAACCGCAATTTTCTCAAGTTCCACACCACCTCGCATCTCCTGTATGTCCATGTTGTATGTTCCTGAAGATGGATCCGTCTGTAACTCCCTGTCGTGGTGCCTTGTCTTCTCTTCCGCCAATATCATGCACAGACTGTCTTGGTTTTCGCTGCTCCCATTCGAGTCTTCATCCCATCCTTCACGCTCCCCGGACAACTTTCCTTCTCCGGTTCCTTCTTCCGTGAACCTGGAACACTCCCCGGACTCTTGACCTAGTCCCAGGTGTTCAGTATCTTCTTTGAACGTCACTTTCTTTTTCCTAACCTTGGTCTGCTCCAGAATGTCTTCGGGGATTTTGTCAACTAGTGACCGCACGACGTCTTTGCTGTCAGTGACGCTTCCTCTTGATGAGTCAATATCGTTCACTGTCTCTTTTCTCCGAAGTATAGTGAATTCCGGTTTCTCTTGACCCTTCTCTTGGATCACGGGCTTATCATCTGATAGTTTCTCGAGCAACCTCATTAAGTCATCATCTATCTGTGCAGTTCCTGCTTCCACTTGGTTAAGATCATAGCCTTTTGCCTTGAGCGTCTCCTTCACGATCTTCGACTTGAGTATAATCTCAATCGGAATCCCCTTGCTCTTCTTCAAGATGGTCTTCTCTGGAGGCTCTTTAGGCAATTCAGGATGATCTTCTATCGGTTTGCCTGACTTGTCCAGCCATCTCGTGAGTGGAAGACTGTCGTACGTTTCCTTGTCCATGAATGAGAAGCCATCTTTGATTTCAGGTCTGTCTGCTTCTCTTTGTTCTTGTCTCTCATAGAACTCCGTCTTCTTACTCAAGCTGTCGGCATTCTGATGTTTATCTCGCGTTCTGTGCTCAATTATCATGTTGTATCCGTCTAGGCGAACTATCCACCTCCCAATGTAACTTTGGTCCATTGAGTACGTTTTCAGCCAGCTCAGTGCTCTGTTGTCGACTCGCAACTTGAATGGCTCACTGCCCAGGTATGCCCTGTATTTCTCGACAAAGGTAACCACCGCGAACATCTCTGCTTTCGGTGCTCCGTACTTCATTTCCGTGTCACTCAGGACTTTGCTCCCGTACGCTATTGGTCTCAAGACTGTCTTCCCATTCCATTCCTGTTCTTGGTGGAGAATCCCAGAAATCGCGACTACCGACGCATCCGTGTCCAGCACGTACATCCCTTTCTCCGTCGGCATACCCAGTACTGGTGCCTCACATAGCTCTTTCTTTATTCTCTGGAATGACTCTTCTGCTGCGTTGTTCCATGTGAACTTCTTGCCCTTGTGTCTCATTAATTGTTGCATCGGGTATACCTTGTCTGCATAGCCTTTGATGAATTCTCTATAATAGTTAGCGAAACCCAGGAAGCTCATCAACTGGTGCTCTGTCTTCGGTGATCTCCAGGTCAGGACTGCTTCCACGGCGTCCGTATCAGGTCTGATGCCATGCTTGTCTACCATCCTGCCCAAGTATTTTATTGAGTCCTTGAGTATCTCGCACTTTGATGGTTTACACTTTAGCCCCGACCTCTTCATGCATGCAAACACTTCGTCTAGTCTCTCAATGTGGTCGTCCAGTGTTGGCGTCGCTATTACCACGTCATCCACGTAGCACATTACCAGGTTGCCATATTTCTTCGTTACGCCTATCAGCGCGTGTGCCATCAACCGCTGAAACGTGGCTGTGGCATTGCAAAGTCCAAACGGCATCCGTGTCCATTGAAACAGACCCAACTCGCAGGCAAACCCTGTCTTGTCCCTGTCCTGCTTCCTTAGTGGTACTTGCCAAAAGGCCGAGCCTAAATCAAGAGTCGTAAAAAATTTTGCATCACCTAACTTCGAGAGGCTCTCATCAATCCTAGGTATGGGATAGGCATCCTTCACCGTGACGGAGTTCAGGTATCGAAAGTCACAACAAAACCTCAACTGGTCGCCTTTCTTTTTGGCCATCACTACTCCACACGCCCACGGTGACTTGGATGGTTCTATCATGTCATACTCTAGTAACGTCTCGATCTCTTTTCTACACGCGTCCGATTTGTGTGGGGTCATGCGCCTCGCCCCCTCCCTGTGTGGTACCGCGTTTTCCTCAAGTTCTATTTCATGTTCAACGAAATTACAACACCCGATATCCGCCTTATGCCTCGAAAAAACTTCCTCGTTTCGCTCTAGTACGTCCTTGATGGCTTCCAGCTGTTCATCTTTCAGTTTGCCCCTCAAATGTTCAATCTCCGGCAGGACCGGTTTTTCATTTTGCATTTCATCTAGTGTGGGTCGCTCTGGAAAGTTCGAACAGCTCGACAGCCCATCATCCGTTTCTGACTTAAGTGATTTAATAAGACCTGAAGAATCTTTTATTTTCTGCAATCGTCTCAAGATACAAATTTTGTCCCTGTGATTGGGACAATCAACAACTTCATTTTGTTTTGAGTTCTCAATTGTTTCATATCGAGTTTTAACCGGTAAAGCATATCCTTGTTTCCTCCCTCTCTGTATCGTGATCGGTATATCAAGGGTATTCAACAAGACACTGACGCAGAGGCCGCTCTTCGTTATCGAAAATGATCTTCCTAAAACAGCAGCACTTTGACTATTAGGATTCGGAACTATACACACTTGCTTGTTGTCACTTAGTTCATTGTAATTTTTCATCCTCAAACTTACGATTGCCGCTTCATTAGCTTTTAGCCTCACCCTCCTACTCAAGAATACCGGTGCTTTGTTTTCATTTGCCATTATTAAATTTACCGGTTTGATTGCGTACCTCCTATCCGGGTTCCGTATCCTGAACATTGCGTTATTTAGATCAATCGTTACGTCGAAATTCCTGATGAATTCTCTGCCCAAAATGAATTGGTCAGATTCATCTAGGTTTTCTACCACGATAAAGCTCATCCACAGGTTACGTTCCCCCAAATTGAGGGCTATTATCGGCGTCCTGCCCAGCACCCGAGGGGCCCCTTTGTTTGCAGCTGACAGCCGTATTCTCGAGTCTATCAAGTCACCTTTGTCAAAGCCCATCCTCTCCCAAGTTTCGATTGGTATGACGCTCAAGACTGCTCCCGTGTCAAGCAACCCACGCAACTGAGTCTTTTTGCCATTTATATCCAGCACGTGCCCTGTCACATCTGCCTCCGTCCCGATGTGCATTGCATCTTCTTCAAGCATGGCGCAGTGTCCAATCGATCACACTTTCAATTCTTCTTTCCCTACGTAGATTTGTCCAATTAGGTCTTCGTCACATGTTATCATCGTCTTGGTATAGATGTTAATCCCATCTATATTTAGCATCACCTCGTGTGGACCATAAGCTTCAGTATATCTGCTATCCACACGTACCGACTTGCTACCCCCTTGCGTGAGTAGTGCTCTCAAAGCTCTAGTAGTCGTTTGTGGGCTTATTAAACTCAAATAGTCTGCATACACGTCAATGTGCATTATTGTCTGGTCGCTCGGCTCGCTCAAGTTTCTGGTTACCTCGTGGCCGCCCACTGTGATTATCGACATTATTCTTGCCCCGATTTTCGATATGCCAAAAGGCTTACCTGTCACCATTTTTACAGTGTTACAATTCCCGGTCTTTGTTGAGCCTGGTACAGCCTCTGGTGTTGGGTTCGATCCGGTTAATGCTTCGTTAAAATTCTGTTTTTCGATCTCCAGCTTTAGTCGTTGCTCTATTTCTTTCGCAGCCAGATCCTGTTTCACTTTGGCAATTGCTTCCGTCGCCGCTTTCTCATAATTTATCTCTAGAGAACTCCCTGCCGCGGATTCTATCGCACCATTAACATGTGTTACAGCTTTCACTGTCTTCATTGGCAATTCCGTGCTTGGTATTCCTAAGTTCCTCGATTCAAACTCGTTTTGCCTGTTCCGCTGATTCTGCACCGCCGCTAATGCCAACTTATGTTTGGGGTGACTCTGGTCCTTGACCGCTTCCCAGAACAAGGGACAATCCATTCTGAAGTGCCCCTCCTGGTTACAGAAGAAGCATCTAGCGCCTATCTTGATGATTAAGCCATTATAGTACTCGTGTTCCTCCATCTGGCTCATGTCCTCCTCATCCGGTGCGTATCCTAGGCTCTTCATGCCTTGTTTGTATGTTGTGCAGTCAGCCACGTGGTGGTCCGCTGACCCGCAGTTCGCGCATGATCTGCGCTTGTCCATATCATCTCTAGGTTTGTACCATGATGACCTCTGGGGTTGGCTTCCCCCCTGTGTGCTCCTGTTTTCCGAATATGAGTATTTCTTGGGCTTCATCAGCATGTATTCCCTTGATTTCTGTCTCATTTCTTCTGGGGTTGGTGCGCTGTCTTTCGACAATGTGTAGTATGTAGCTAACATTGTCCTTAAGTCATCACTTTTTACCCCATCAATGAACTTCGAGGCAATGCTGAAGTTTTTTCTGTTTGTCGACTCCTCTGGGTCACTCCTTCTTCTCAAGCTCTCGAGATCATCTAGGAACCGATCTATTGACTCGTCGTCCCTCTGCCTTCTCTTTTCAAATCGCATCATCGCTTGGTGACCCTTCATGCCTGACCCGAATCGATTCAGTAATATCTCGAAGATCTTGTCCGCGGTGTCGCGTTCTTCTTCCTTCTTTGCAACCACGCATTTTAATGCCGTGCCTTCTAAGTTGCTGAGTATGGCCGTGCATGCTTGTCTTTCATCATTTAATTTATCTTGCTCTAGGTGTAATCTCATCACTTCCACCCAAGTGTCGATGCATCCATCGGAGTCGTCTTTGAATTCCTTTGGCTTCTTGAAAGTTTTTCTTGATTTTCCGTCCCTCCTATCGCTCGAGTCAGTGTTCCTCGTGGCGAAGGCCTCTAGAGTCCTGTTCATCATCTCCCAATTGCTTGCCCATGTCATCGCATCCGGACCTGCGTTGCTGTTAGCTGTTGAGTCCCCCGGGCCAGTCGTTGTACTTGACGTTCCATTCTTCATGATCGTTTTAGCAGCTGTTGGTGCTATGCTCACCGTGTCCCGGGTTAAGGGCAACGGTGTCGGTTGCCGTTTGCCCCTTTGTGGTTCCACAAAGTCAACTCTGGTGCCTTGCGTGCGATCCGCTGCCGGTCCTTCTTGTGAGGTAGAATTTCTCAAGATTGCATCCAACTTCGCCTGTATTGCACACGAACTTTCGGCCTGATTCCTGTTCATTATGTCCATTCTCTTTTCCAGGCTACCTAATTGGCTGTTGACATCATCATATCGGTTTTTCAACTGTTGCATATCTTTTTTGATGTTCTTATCTCGTTCTTCATTAGTGGCATCTACCTTGTCCGACATCTGCTGGAGTCTCTCGTCTGTCGCCTTAGCCAGGTTAAAATAACTATTCAGATACTCGTGTTTGTTGTATTTCAACTCTTTCCTTATTAAGTCTCTATCTTCCTCACTGTACTTCAGTTTCTTGTCGATCTGATTTAGTTTTGTCATCAGGTCTCCAAGCTCAAGGGTGGCTGTTTCATGATCAGCCGCTGTCTTGTTTCCGGCTGTCGCTTCCTTTCTGGCTTGTTCTTCCATTGGGTCGGCTTCTGTCGCCTTCGTGCTCACTGTCCCAAATGTTCGTGCTCTTCCGACGTCTACGGTTTGTCTTTTGTCCGACGTCTTGTCCGACGTCGGCCGAATCTCACCGTAAAACGACCGTAAACGATTTTTTACGGTGAGATTGGAGATATTTTTTAGAGATTGGTTGGGGTGGTAGAAGAGAGTGGTGTTGGTGTTAGAAGAGATATTGTTGGAATGAATTCCCGTAGTTTTGAGCTTCTATTTATACTCAGATTGGGAAATCACGCCACTTTTCGTATCAAATGAGAAGTTTCTTTTAACTTCGTATTCTTTATTCGTACATTCGTATTTTACGAGAAGAAGTTTTCGTATGCTCGTATTTTACGAGAGGAATCGTTAATATTCGTATTGAATGAGAATAGTCGTTTCAATTCTCAATGCTTAAAACGTTATACGAATTATTCCAATAGCATTTCCCTTCCTTTTGCAAGGGAATAAAAACATATTTCTTTTGGTGGTGGCGGCGGCGTCACATTTTGTGAACGCAATAAAATAATTCATGTTTCTGTTTCTATTTGAAATCAGAACATATCCATCCTCCTATTTGGAGAGGGAAAAAACTAAAACTTTCATTTTTATTACTTTCACTTGAATAGTGGGGTAATTGTTGATCAATCGAAGCTTTTTCTTTCAATCTCATAAAGTTGGTTCAATAGTTTGTTGGTATTACAGGTAGCAGATGTTTTTGAACAACTGATACTTTGAGTCAGGCTTGAATGAATATAAACACATCAGTTACATTTATAAATCAAAACAGAGTTTACACAACCAAGGGATTTAACTATAAAATTAAATACATCAAAATTATCTGTTTCTCAAAAGTTTGAAGGTTAGTTTTATTCCTTGTATATTCTTTTTCCGAAGTCTCCTTTTCTTCCTGAAGTATGTGAAGTCTGTCCAAACGCGTAATAAGGGGAGGACTGGTTCATACAAAGGGGGTATTTTTTGTGTTTTTTTTTGTTTTTTATAAAAGTCAAAATTGTTAAAAGGAAATTAATAGCTATACTACATAGCTATATAAAGCGAAAGAATAAATGCTTAAATAAAAGGATAAATTTCTTACAATTTTCCTTCCAACCGGGCTATAAGTTGTTGATTTTTTGTTTTCAAATTGTGGATTTGCTTTTTCAGCTCCCGGATTTGGTGCGTTTCATGGATATGACTGCGCTGAATTTGCTCAGTATAGTCATCTAACTGGGGGGTTTGTAATTTTGCTGTCAGATACTTTGCTGGGACATAGATTTTTTGATATTCAAGAAGGGAATTAGTTATGGAATACATTTTTTTATAGGATGATAAGCTTCTAATTTAAAACGATTGATTAATGGATTCAAAGCATAATTGAGATCCATATCGAAGCCAGGATTGCTTTTAGAATTAATGTATCGTTCCCTTTCTAACTGAATATGTAATCTAGTGTTTATTTCAGTGGGGTGCAAGGGCTGTCGCCTAATGGTCATTGGACAATGAGAAGTTGATACCGGCGTATTTGCCGTTAGTATCTTATATGGTTTTACAATCTGGGTCCGTTTTTTAATTTTAGAATTCGAGGGAACCAGGGGTATTTTAAAATCAGGGGGTGAAATTTTTAGGGGTGGTGGCTGTGATGCTGTAGTTTTTGGGACAGCTGTACTGGTTTGAAGTAGTGGCTCAACGAAGGATCGTGTTGAGGTCGGCTTTGCAGTGGTTGTTGTAGTAGTAGAAACAGTTGGTTGTTGAGTGAGTGCTGAAATCTGCGAGTCCAGTGGATCGGTTGGTGGCAGGAGTGAGAGAAG